GGGGGGGTATTTCAACCATTTCAACTCGATGCCTTTCTGATGTAAGGCCATGTCGTTCTATTGTCAAAGTTTCGTCATTTTCCTAAAATTGTGTTCATAATCCTCAAATATTTGTGAACGTAAAAACGCCCACCAGTTTGGTTCTTTTTTTGCTTAAAAAAATACGATTTGCGCTCCCAAGTGCCCTATTAATTAGAATGTGGGGGAGATGGTCCCTGTCATTATTTTATCTCTTACTGACTTTATATAAATTTGAGATTAAACAGCTTCTCTTATTTTTTAAGACTGATTTGTTTTTTTTTGCACGGTTTCAATTGGACAGTGTTTACTATTTCTCCCTAATTGTCTTCTTCATCTCTGTGGACAGTTTTGTCACCCATCTCTCTGCTGACTTCACCTTCGCTCTTCATATCGATGTCATTCCTCCTCAAAAAATCTCTAATGGTCCTTTAGAAGCTTTTTTGGCTTTAAAAACTAAAATTTGGTTACAAATTATTACTTGTAGATTGAAACTCCGCATTTCTTAGAACTGGGTATTTGAGGTATTGTAAAAATAAGAACCAAATGTTTGTGTTGAATCTTATTGGACCGCATTATTGTTACTATTACCCATGACCTTGAAAAATACTTGAAAATTAAAGGTTTCAGAAAGGATTACAACGAGGGCGACGGCGGATAGAGGGGGGGGGGGAGGAGGGGCCGATCATGAGTTTCTGAAGAAGTCAGCTTGCTTAGAGTCAGTCCCTGATTTTCTGTGTTGGCCATTGTGGGTAATGCTCGGGGCCTATTGACCATTTGCTTCAATTGAATATTGGAGTCACACGCAGCCATTAGAAGGCAGGTGAGATACGTCAGTCTTTACTAAAGTTTGCTCAACATGATCTCTAACATTGGTGCTATTTTTTTCATCTCAGCCTCACTTATTGTATTAAGTCAAGTTCCTCGAGTAGATACTGCGTCATGAATGAGGATCACACTGATTTATTGACTAAAGGTTCGAAGATTTTACACCGGGTTGCTCTCTCGTAGAGGGCTGTCACAAATTCCCAATCGATCGTGTCTCGACATGGAGATTGATAGCTGACAAAGGATTGGTTTTGCTCAAGCAAAAGGAATTGACGATCGTTAATTTGTGCCTTTTTATCTCCTTTGAGCAGTCCTCTCCTAGGTTAGTTAATTTTCAAGGTGCTTTGAAGTTTCCCTCCTGCATGAAAAGTGTTCTCCACTTACTTTCCCTAAAATGTCGACTGCCTTCGCACTTTGGTTCTTTTTAACCTTCAATTATAAGCTTCCGTACATTTATTCATTTATTTTTTAAACTACTTACTTAAATGTAATTGCCTTTCTCAATTATTTATCTATTCGCATTCTTCTACACACTTTTGAGTGTGCAGTGTTTGCTTCCAGCGTTTTTCATTGTTCCCCCTCCCCCTCCCCCCCCCTCCCCCCCCCCAATTCCTCTTTTCATTATTTGCGTTGCTAAGTCAAATATTTGCTTTCTAGGCAGCCGTGGAGACAAATCGCTAGTAGTTTCGCTCTGCAGTCAGTGAATTTATTGGTGCCTTTTGTTAGTTGATGCCTAGTATAACAAACGGGAATTTGTAATTGCATTATGCAATAAGATTTTCCTCAATCTTGAGTAACATTTATTGTCATCTTAATCATACTGTGAGTGTGTCTCACCTCTGAATCATAACAACATCATGTGTGGTAGGCATCATCGCTTGAGTTTTCTAGTCTTAATTAGGGAGCGGACTAATAGTCCCATGTACTCCCCTTCCGCATGTCCGCCCATCCGAATAAGCGCCCACATTGGCAGGTTGTTTGGGGTTAAAATTTAAAATACATTCTTACAGCTTTTCTCTATTTGGAGCCGAGGCTTGACTCTCTCTGTGGTAGTTTGTTCGGGTGAGCGGTTATTTAGTTCCACAAAAAATAGTTACATGAAACGGAATTTTCCATTTGATCGCCCTGGGTGGATTTTCGGTACTTGCTTGGCAATTCAGAACATCTGATACTCCACTGCAATAATTCGTGTACTTTATGGGACCTCTATTTAAGCCTTTATAATGGGCAGAAAGTCACATTTTGTGAAAGCTCAATTTATTTTTAACTCACCGGTTACCTCAATCAATATTTTTGCACGTTTGCTAACAATTCGAGAACGCAGTCGCTTATACTGTTTTCTCATTCGTCGTATCATGCACTAATCCACGTCTCCGAATTATGGTTAACAGTTTTATTTAGGCAATTATTGATTTGGTTGTGATTGGTTAATAAGTCTGCTAATTTTATGTCCGACTCTTGACGATCATGCTTTAATTCTCTTGTCAGCAGACGTTTTCTGATTAGCCTCGGCAAAATTAGCATATTCTTGACAGCATTCGGTAATTTGTATGTGCAACACTTGCTTTCCTATAATTAGTCTCTTTTTCTGAGTCACACCACTTAGTAGTTTCCCTTTTTAGTAATATATGCTAAAATAATTTCACTCACGTTCTCTGTGTGGGGAGATATGGAGAGAAATTTATTACGGTCTTGTAAATAATGAGTGATATGCGTTGCAGGTCAATTACCCAAAAAATCACATCAAAACTATAGCCCCCTTACCGGTTGGTTTCCTACTCCCTGCATTTTAACGTTGCACCATTATGCTGACTCAGTCGATAATTGCTATTCTCCCTCCCCCTCCCCCACAACCACCACATTACTTCTTTCATACTCTCATTCCTACGCGTTTACATGGGTGTTTCGGAATCGTTACATATCACAATGCAACCATAGCAACCCACATGGTGCGCGTGGAACCCATGTCAGCCCCCCTCCTCCTCCTCCCCCCCCCCCCCCCCCCCCCCCCCCCCAACACCTCCTTTCCTTACTCATTCTGTGGAGTTAATATGACTATCAACATGACTTTTCTCCAGATTTATTATTAATTGTCTTTTTTTGTTTCACACTTTAGGCAAGAGTCGACGCAGGCACATGGTCAGCCAGTTGAAGAGCAAGTTATCCCGTAGCTCGGCTAATTTGAGTGAAATTGGAAGTAAAGGGCGCTCCAAACGCTCGAGGTTGGTTAATGGGGTGTGTGTATGTGTGCTGCACTACTTATACTGACACCTAAGAAATGCATATATTTTTTGTTTCTAGTCCTGATGGCAGTCGATGTGACCAAGATTGCAGAGGTAATGTTTAATTCAGGTTTCACTTAATTATAATGATGGGTTATATATTGTATTCAGTTGAAATTTTTCATTTGCTCTCTGAATGCTCGAACTTAGAACTTATTTGGTGTTATGCCAATGGTACTTTCGTTGGATTGTTGGTATTGATTTAAAAATTCTAATGGTGCTCTTTCTCGTAGACTGTACTCTCCACAAACCTATGCAAACGCACTAGGCATTCACTCAACTTGAAATATTTCTCTCCTTCTACAAACTACAAACTTTTCTGCCCTGGGATTGTGATGCATAAGTGGAGGGGGGGAGGGGGGGGGGAGGAGAGAGGCTAGCCTTACATGGAAGAATCAGTGTAAGAAAGCAACTACCTCTTCTCATTATGCACTCCTTGTTTCCATATTCTTTTCTTGATTGACACCCCTCTTTTTTTTTAATTTCTATCCATGCAATAAACACCAAATACACGAGCTCGTTTTTATATTTGTTTTGTTAAAATGAGTTTTTGTTCTAGAGAAAAAAAGTTTATTTAAATGGGCATCACTCTCCAATTTCTTAATAGACGTGCTTCTAAGTTACCCTTTTAAATAAGTATCTTTTTATGTTCTTGTTTTAAATCTTGATGAGTTCAAGATTTAGCATATTTAAGTCAAGTTACTGCTGACTTTAATATCCATAAATTCCCTACTTCCTTCCTCAAATATGACCTCGCAAATCGAAATTTCTAGAATTCATATAGGAAAGCCTATGATTCATGCAGTGTTGTTTATGCCATACAGAGAATTGCAAGTTTCCGGTTAAAGCAACTTACCTTAAGAAATTTGCACTATCTTTAGACTCCGGTCATGCGATAGCTACCCAATGTTTCATGATCGGAAGTACGAATTCCTCTCACCATTTCCTGCTTTACTGGGCAAATTTTGTCAAGAACAGACGGTCTATACACTGAAATGTTATTTTTCATTTTCCTCTTTATTTAAGTCTTTTTCATTCTCTGAAGGGAAGCAAAATCGCCTTAGACCACTCTGGGCTTTACTCGAGCAAATGCATCATGGTGAATAGTAGAGATAGCTAAAGCTACCCTTAGCTTTTTATTAACCGCTAACTTATTAATTCTCACATCCATAGATTGATAGTGTCTCGCTAGAGTATAGTTCCGGATGAAATCGATTTATATCATTTGTTCAAATTCTCGAACCTTTCAGGCAGTGCCATATCATCCAAATCCAAGAGTGGTGGTGTACGACGGAAAATTTCTTCAGTCTTTTCGCATTTTCGACACAACAGAAAGTCGAAAGATAATCCTGATGGTTTCCAGAGTTGTATTGATTTACGACAACTTAGTAAGCCGCCCTACTCCTTAGCACCACCTCTAGCACATAATCACTCGCCCCTTTCGTTAGGCCATAACACTTAGTGTTGCACGTTGAATGTTTCCTTCGGTTTAGACGTTTTGCTTTCTTCCAGTGGAATGACTGAACATTTCTCTTATTATTCTTGCGTTTTTTTGCTTTCTAGTGCCGTTGAATGAACCAGCCGTTGATGAAACCCTACCAACCAGGTTTCAGGACAGTAGACAAATTGCTCGGAACTGCGAGAATGCTCTCGAACCAAATACTCAGTGTAAGTCTCTATTCAGTCTATTTTGAAATGTAGTTCTCCATTTGGCGTCAGAAAATGCAAAAGTGATTTCAATGTTTATAATTTCAGGCTTATTTCATTATCTAATATAAGTTAATAAACATTGGCATTACTCCAACACTCAACCTATTATGAAATTAATTTAGCAATTCTTGGAGAAAACAAAACACGGAGATTTCTAGACTATTTCAATCAACTTCAGTTGCGATCTGTTTGTCTCTATTCTAAATGCCCTTGGGGCTGAAGATATTTGAGAACTTTCTACTGAGTTGACCTTGAATGTGATTGGAGGTTTACAATCGTTTGTGATGTCAAAGAAAGCGTACTACTAGAAATTTGTTCTACTGAAATTCGTTTGCAAATTTCTTCGAAAAGTTGCGGTGAATTCTCATAGGTGTTAAATTCAATTACTGCATGACTTAGTTCTACCAATCATGCGGATGGTTCTATACTTCTAACCAATAGGCAACTACCTAATGTTTCTTTTCCTTTATTCTGCATGCACCACTCAGCTACGCATCGTATTAATTTCTTCTTCGTTCCTATCATTCACAAACTTTAGGTTCTGCTTCGGCGTATTTCACTACGAGTCTATTATTTTCATAATCTACCTACCACATTGAACTTCTTTGTTTTTCAAACACAGATTTTGGAATTGATTAAAATTAGTTTTTGTGTTGCCAAGGTCGATAGAAATCTTAAATTATACTCATTCTATTTAAGTAGTCTGTTTTTCAACACGGACTTCATCAATTTAGATTCAGGTAATTCTGTGAAAGAAGAGTGGGGATTGCCGTCAACACAACCACAGCCCACTTCAATGACACCAGCACCGAATCCCAAATCAAATGGAAGCACAGCTGCTTACGGTCTCCATCCAGAAGAAGGTCCTGGAAAGGCCAAAGATGGTATGCGAAATCTTCACTTCCTCTGTTTGTAATATTTTCTGATCTTTTAATACGTCTTTAACCACTTAGATATGACTAAACGAGAATTGATTGAGTTGACGTCCATACTGGAACAACGGTTGCTTAGTAAGCCTCAAGGATTTGAATGGAGCTAAATCTATCTACTTAAATGTGTAAAAGTAGCTTCTTGTTAATTTATAGCAACTCGTACGGAACTTGTTCGCGCTAATATGGAGCAAAATCAGCTGAGTGCTCGAGTTGAGGAACTTAATTCAGAACTGACTCAAACTCGATTACAACTTTCAACTCTTCGAAGTCGACTTCTTGAAGACAATTTGACGCAATATTTGGAAGTCACTATAATAGAAGATTCTTCAGTTGTACCCCCTCCTCGTAATGATCATCCGACAACCTTCCAATCACCTAATCCAAATTCTCCTGGTCCTACCCCAAGAAGTCCAGAAAATTCATTCTTGAGTAAAGCGAAAGCTATTGCAACGCGATCGTTTGGGGGTGGCATTTTGTCGAATGCTACTTCACAACCGAACCTTAGTTCCACCATATTCAATGGTCAGAACTCTTTTTCTTCTCCTTCTCCTCCTAGAAACGGTGTTATTGATTATGGAAGTGTCTGGTAGATCCCTTCCCTTTCTTGTTCTTCCCATCATAATCTTGAAGCATTCCATATTAATTCATATTTGCCCGGCTGTGATAATTCGAATTGCTTTATTCTTTAAATCGCAATCTTTCCACGGAATTACACTGAACTTATGGTTGTTTGGGTTTTGACTTGCTGATTTTATTTTAAATAAATTTATCTACTTTTGTGATTTCATCCCTTCTGCTTTGTGCTTCAATTCGCTTCTACCGTACTTCGTCTTCGTAGTATTTTTGTATTGGCTGCTGGCAGAACAATTTTTATTTTTCCTATTGATCAAGAGGTGGCAATAACAAAATGAAACTTGTTTTTTCGTGTTTTGTTGGAATAGGTTATGTGTTCAAAGTCTAGACCGATTTTCGGTATTTTAGGCGAGCAGAAAATCTTTGAAGCGAAAATTGAGATCTGAGAATGATGAAGAAGAGGATTTTATAGGGCCTAAGAAGAAGTTCCCGATTGAAAGTGAAGGTGGTGTAAATGGAGCTACTCAAAGGTATTCTAATTATCCTCTTGTTCGGCGGAGATCTAATTCTGGAGACCGAGAACGCCTCCATGTTTTCACAGCAACCTTACTCAGGATTGAATCATCTCCCGCCCAAGTTGCGTTTATTGAAGTGAAGTGGAAGAGTCATCTAAAAGAGATCGCAATTCTCCAAAGCATGGTAACACCAGTGGAACTCTACTTTATCGAAGTATTTTTAGGGTTGCTATGGTTACTCGTTTGAAAATGGAGGAAAAATTCAACCAGATAGTTTACCAACTAAGCTCTTCTTTTTCGATTCAGAGGTTTGTAATGGTCAAAATTGAATAATTCGATTTTTCCAGATTTTTTTTCTTTATCATGAATTGGGCGTATTGAGGATAGCGATCCCGAGAAGTTTAATTACGAATCCCAAAGAAAAGGTTTCTCAAGTGTTCATATATTGTATTATTTTATTTATCTAATTTATTTGGGTTTGTCTTTAGAGACCTATCAATCATCTTTGGGATATTCTCACGGCCTCAAATAATTTGAACTTAGAGCAACCTCTCACACCGTTTCCTCTTCGATATGCCGCTTATGTGTATTATAGATCCAGAGGTTGGATAGTGCGACCTTCACTCTCTTTGGGTGGGGTTGATTTTCTTCTTTATGCTGAGTCGCCAGATTTGCGCCATGCTGCATTTGCAGTTGTTGTGGTTCCCGGTTTAACCAATCGCAGTATCTGTGACATTACCGCCCATTTACGGGTAGCGTCTTCTGTTGCCAAGGCAAGTATGACTTTCACGAAAAATTTACAGCGGTGTCTTAATATTGGCTAGTTAACTGATGTATATAATAACTTATTGCGCTTAATATAGTTTTTTTTATTTTAGAAGTTGATTATTGCCAAAGTTCTTCCACCAGAGAACTATCAAACCGAACTCAAACCTTGGAAACGAATAAAAGATTATTCAATTGAAGAGACACTGGTATCTCGACCAGATATTGTTTAATAATTATCCACGCCGATGAATATCACAGAGCATGCATTTATATATGTTATTATTAAACAATTTTGCAGAACAGTGGGCCGTCTTATTTTGAACACATTTTGCCAGTCAATAGTAGACTAGATTGTAAAAAATTAATATGTAAAAAGCCGATAGGTGTATCTTCAAGAGTTAAGTGTATTTCACAAAGTTTAATTGGACGAAGCGACTTGCCTTATCCTAATGCTTCTAACATCTAAATGAGTTAATTAGTAAAGTACACACAGTATACTGAAAATTGGCTTTTAATTGTGGCCAACATACTCATTTTGTACTATTTTACGTCGCGTAAAGCTAAAACAGTACATTCTTCCATAAATACATTTAAAAACGCAATTTCGTCGAATTTACTCTATTTCAAATTTTTGCGCACTATTTTTGTTATTTAACATCGAAAAGCTGTATTGCCCATTTTAAACGAAAATACTTCTCAGTTTATATTAAGCTGCATAAATTGTTCACCTCAAATTTTGATCCATTCAAATAAAATCATTTAATACGCTCTTATTATTAAATATTATGATTCAATTTAAAAATGATTTAATCAAAAGTAAAATTGATTATTATTTTCAAATATGTAAACGTTATTTTTTTGAATTCCTGCGATAATTAGTTTTGTAATGGCTTTTTATTGGAATAGAGTGCATGACATAGGATATAGTTTCAAAAATATATAAAATTGTTTTGATTCGAATACATTGAAGAAATTGAAATTATGCGTTTCATTTTAATGTGAAAACTGATCTTTTTTAAACTGCATAATTGAATTTAGTGTGATACAATAATTGTTTTCATTCTTGTTTTCCTTAAAATTTGTTCATTGTTGATTTTAAATACTTTTCAGTAAGCCTCAATACTCTTTTGTTTTGACTTATTTAAATCAAGATGAACAAATAAACATGCTTTTTCAAGTCCGCATTTCTTAAAACTCAAGTTTAAGTTTTTATACGAATATATCTTATCCTATAGATTGCAATATGACGTTTCTTTTTATTCTTTTTTATGTACTTAATAAAATTACAAAGTGAGCTCAAATGGAATACTCTATGATTAGCAAAAATCGACAAGTTTATATATTTTAATTTGATTTTGGGTTTCATGATATAACTATAAGAATGTTGATAAACGAGCTTAGATTTAACTGAGCTCTGAAAATTCCACTATAATAAAATAATCACATAATTAATATGTGATAATAAATAGGATTGAGGTCTTTTTACTATTTCACTTAAATATAATAAATTTTAGTTGAGATAAGAAGCTGATTAACTTACAAATTAAATTATTCACTCAACACCTGACAAAAGTCTATCTTGTGTCACCCACTGAAGTATTTTGAGTTCGTTTTCTATTATTTTTACTACAATTAAATTTATAATTAAGAGCAAATTCGTCAAGAATTTTTGGCACATTTGCTTTGTTTCATGATAAACGTTTGAAGGAAGTTTTGAAAGATTTTGTTTGACATTCTAATATTTAACACAAACGAGGTGTGCGATAGACTTACCTCCACGTGGTGCACTCTTGGCAACGTATACTCATACGGCAAAAAAGTCTATTAACTGGCAGTTGACTTCAAACTGCCAAGGCTTCCCCTGTATGACATATTCGATCACTTCCATGACCACACTGTATGGCATATTCGACCACTTCTCTGTATGACATATTCGATCACTTCCACAGTACTATATCACATTTTTTCTAAATTTTCAACCTTCGTCTTTGAAACACTCTTCAGTTCCCCCTCTTCTCGACTTTTTTCACTTTGATGTTCCTTTCCCTCTGTGAAGCCTGAAGTCAACCAAAGGGCTAATGATAATCATCAAAACGCCTGCCACTTGATATAAATAAATTAATAACTTTAACACAAACTCATAATAGTTCATACACAGTAATGTCCTTAATGCTTTCTACTTGTGCACATTCAACTCGAAGTACGAACGCTCACACAGAAACCAGATCGAATCACTTAACTCTCCATCTTGCTCTCAACGGCCGGTTTTACTTAAGGCGTGCCGATAGATTTAGGATTAGTTCATCTTTCGAGTTGTACAAAAATTGTTTGGGGCGTACTGCAAACCTCATTTCCAAATAAATATATTTTTAATGTAAATCACGAAAGGTCTTCAGTTAATTTTGCAATTTAATGTGGTGTTAAATGAGTTGAACTCTTATAGGACAAGGAAGAATTTTGCTGGGGTTGATCGAGTGCGTTAATTAAATAGGGTAGTCATTATCTTTCATTCTTCACAACTTTAATGTGAAATTTCAGGAGATAATTTTTGGTGAGCAAAGTAACCTAACCGTACGAATCAATTTTGCGCTATACACCTAAGCCAACTAACATAATACTATTTGTATTTTTAATGTACATTTCTTTTATTTTACCATATATAAGTATCATGAATCAGCTTATTGGATTATTATGTCATAGAATTGTAGAGTAAAAAACTTTGAAATTATTTGGCGAATTCTAAGCCATACAGAGACGAAGTGCAAAGCAAAAAAAGGAAAAAAACAAAACTGAATTTTGAAGATCAGAAGTATACTCGGAATCATACGGCTTCTATATAACGTTTTATAGAAAGGATTGGCGACGGCTAATTGGTGACCAAAATTGACTCAAATTTGATTTACATGGAGATTTTTAAAGCATTCGAAACTTATTCCCAGAATAACACACTCAACCATGTTAGTATGACGTCTAGTTACTCAAAACGATATTTAATTCGAGTTTTATTTAGATATATAATGTGTGGGTGAGTTGCTTTCAACTAGCCAGAATGTCGATATATTAGAAAGGCGAACACCTCCAAGAATTATGAAAATTCTGAAATCGACCGTGAATTGACTTTACCGAGAATAAATTGTTTTCTACTATTGCTCATGCTACTTATTACTAACAAGTAATTGAGTAGGGTTAACTATTTTCCACATGATATTTTATAAAGATGAAATGGATCTGCTTGCTATTTAGAATAATGAAGCATCGCCATTATTTAAATTTAATTTTCAATGCTGAGACACGCTTAAACATTTATTTTTGCCATTATTTCATTTAAATTTAAGCTCTCCTTTTTTGTTCCTCCACAGTCCTGTGAACGACAATTCCATATTTTATTCCTAGGTCATCAGGGATCAGTTGGGAAGAAATTAGATTGTCATTAATTTAGTTTCTATTCTTTCAAAGAGAAGGGACTTTCAGTATTGTAAATTGTACCGAGGGGTGGAGTTTTATGATATATTTTTTAATAGTCGCATAATTGGCATATTACAGAAATATGCTTGACTATTGCGCAAGTAGCTTTAAGATTCATAAAAGACTAAGTCGTTCTTAATTAAAGACTTGATTAAAAATCTTCATGATAGCATTCTTACGCCGGATAGTATTTGTTTAGAATTTGGAGATCACTTCAAGATTAAATAAAGAAGACAATCAAAAACTGAAAGTTGAAAGCTGTGTGAATTTTTATCTGATGAGTATTTTAAGTCAATTTGCTTAGTTGCATGATATTAAGAACTTGATATTTGCCTTAACAGGGGTGTGCGATAGACTTACCTCCACGTGGTGCACCCAGGGCAACGTATACTCATACGGCTAAAAAGTCTATTAACTGGCAATTGACTTCTGGCTTCTAACTACCACGACTCCCTCCCCTGGTTGTCATATTCGACACCTTCCACAGTATTCCCCTTACCTTTTTCTCTACCTTTGTGTCCGTCTATCTCTTTTACAACTGTGAATCTCTCTTCTGTTCTCCCCCCTGTGAAGCCCGAAGCCAGCTAAATGGCTAATGATATCTTCCAAAACGCCTGCTATTTGAAATAAATAAAATAAATAAATATTTGCCTTAATACATGCACTTTCGTTAATGTAACTTCGAAAAGCACTTATGGTATCTCTTAAAGTGAAGAAGACGTCCAAATGAAAATGGTTAATGATGGACGTTATTAGGTTTCAATTTGGTGTATATGTCATCATTTAGATATATTCATATTTGAGGATTTTATGTTTAAAAAGATTTTAGCAAAGACGCACTTTTGTGAGACTCAAAATCTTCCACTTTCTGTATACTCCAGATACGAGTTGTGGTAATTCGTGTAACCAACCATTAAGGTGTAACCACACACCTACCCTTTGCGTGCGCAGTCCTCTTCATTCTTTATAAAGGCCTCATTCTCAAGCATTTCTCCAAAAATGAATCAGTTCATATTCAGAATTTGTTATTTTTGTTTACTCATTTGTCCTGTTTTCATTTGCGGATACGGTAAGTCGATCTGCTTATATTTTCACTAATACCGCATATCAATAGTATCCACTATAGAATCTGTGATCGACAGCATATTAGTGGACGCGCCTCCATATCTAATTGGCCAGGGCGATGAAAATACGAAAGTTCTCGCGATTGAAAATATTGTTAGATGTGGACCTATGTCGATGGAAGAAATAATGCTTCCTCCGAATATCAATTATAATATCAGCGCATGCATTGCCATGGATAATCTAGAAGTTCAAGTGAAATTAGTATGTTTGGTTTTCTATCAAAGAAAGTTTGCCTATTGAAAATGCCCCCTCCCTTTTTAATTACTTCATTAGGACATTTTTATTCACTCTTTTAAGTACATAGCTGAAAATGTTTTAATGGAAAATTTTAAGTTACTCTTCTTTTCATAGGGCCTGATTAGTTCAAAATTTTCAGCCAAGTATATAGAGTTGGCGGTAAATGTGACAGTCGAGACAGGATTATCCCCAAAAGCAACTGGAACAGTAGAAATTCTGGACTGGACTGATCCTAAATTTGGTTTATTACCTATTGGTGGTCTCAAAGGATTGATGGAAAAGGAACTGACCAATCAATTGAACAAATTTCTTGACCAGTTTATACAAATGGACAATACTATTAATCCCAGCATCAAAGGACAGTTGTAAAATAAGGAAATTGTTCATATGCCATTTCCTCAAT